CCCCTAGACCCCTGCGGGCACCACCAAGGGCCTGAGGCAGGCAGAGTGAGAGACGGCCTTCAGATGGCGTCTCTCCTCTCCCATCCAGCCGCCCCCGGCCACCAATCCTGCCGCCCTGTGGGGTGAGGCCCTGCTACACCCCACCTCTGCAAGGAACCCCGCATGACCAGCCGCGTGCCCGCGAGCGAAGGAGCTGTGGGAGCTGGCTCTGACGGGGCACAGAGGTCTGAGCGGGCAGAGTGCGGGGGAGCGGCAGCTGCAGACGTGGGTGAGGGATTTCCCGGTTCTGTGCTGAGCCGGAGAGCACAGGGTAGGGCCCTGGCCGTGCCCTGAGGGGCTCTGCTGCTTTGGTCATGGAGACCCTCGGGATCTGTACAGACCAGACAGGCGAACTCCCCACAGCCTGGCCGGCCTCTGCTGCCCCTTCCTGACCAGGCCTGACCGAGCAGTCACCAGACACGGTGGAGAAGGCCTGCCTGGCTCAGGGTGATTCCCGGCGCTGGCCGCCGTAAGCCCTGGAAATCCAGGCTAATGCTGGGGGATCCACCCGCCAGCTCACCAGAGCCGCACAGACAGCTGCCCTCCACACCAGCCCTGCACCCCGGGAATGGGCGCGGCCAGGGGTGTGCACACACCTGCTCACACGCACACCCACACACATCCATGCCTGCATTCACACACAAACGCACAGCTGCATGCCTGATTCAGGCACACCTGGTCTCACACACACACCTTCATGTACACACAACACACACCTGCACACACTCACTGACACAAACTCATGCACACCCACCTGCACACACTGACACACGCTCACGCACACCCACCTGCACACACTCACTGACACACACTCATGCACACCCACCTGCACACACTGACACACGCTCACTGACACACACACCGGCACACACTGACACCTACACTCACACATCTGCACACCTGGATGCACACACACTCTCAGGCACATGTACTCAGTCTACACCCCTGACACACTCGAGCTGCTTGGAACCCCTCAGCACACACACCGGCACATCCCCACCCCGCACGCATGCGCACACA